CACATTACCTGTACTGGGATAAAGATGACTGTCAAGACTGTTGGAGTTCTTCAATGAACCCACGAGACCATTTAGAAGACGCTTATAAAGAGTGTCCCCTCCTAGGTGTATTTCATTGAAATGGTGGTAAAGACTGACTTGTATCTTCAACCTAGCTCACTGGCCACGCTGTGCTCTCCAAGTTACAAAACGAAGATGCACGATGAAATGTCTGAAGCTCCTCCAACTGAGTTATCTCGGCCATGGCCAGAAATGTCTAGGCCCAGTCTACAGGCCAAAAACCATATTTATGTGTAAACTACATGCCAGTGTTGGAACACTGTCGAAACGCCATTCAGATAATAAATAAGAGGATCGTTTTCACCTTCTGAAAGCAAGAAATTTGTGACATTAGCATGTCAATACGCTGCAATGTGAAGGAGCCTACTCTTGTGTGGTGTGTCACCTCAGCAATGGAATGAAAGCTGGCTTTTGGATACACTACAGTTTGTCAGGTAGGAACTCTGGAACTGATGACCAAGACCATGGTTTACGCAAAGGCTCAACCAAATGTTAAGAAGCGTGCTTCCCTGGGGGTGCAAACAGACACAACGCCTGAACAGGGACTTGAACCCTGGACCCTCAGATTAAAAGTCTGATGCTGTACCGACTGAGCTATCCAGGCTCTGCCAGTTTCTTCAACGGTGACGCTAAAGCCTGAGCACAAGGGCTTCAAAAAGGTCCGTTTCAAATGGCGTCACAACTACTCTACTCAACACCTTTCAAAAGTGAAGTAGCATAATCATTATCAACCTTTCTGAAAACAAAGGGTCACAAAGGTTTCAAAGTAGGAGATGAAGCATCGCCAACTACGTATCCAAACCAACCTCCTTCCAAGCCAAAGACTAGAAAATATGGTGAAACGTATGTTTCCTTTGGCTTCACCTGAACAAGTGCCAAGGTAGGTCTCTGCAATAGAATTAGTTTTCCTTATGCAGGGAGTACGCTCTGGGCTCTCCAAATCACGGAGAAACACTATCCCACATTTTTAATTTTTAAAACACTTCTTGTAATAACTAACTACTCCTGACATTTTGGAGATGTTAGCTATTCATACAGTAAAGTTACAGCGGAATACAAATAGTATCAGGCTGACCCTACGTAACTTGTTCCCCTGGTTCAAATCACAGACCAACAGGATCCCACAGTTGTTAATGCTTTTAAACCCATTTTGCATAGAGAGGCATTTTTGAAAAATGTAATAGCAATGTTGAATATTATTAAACAGGAAAAACAACAACATACTTCATACCGTGTACATTATAATATACCATAATAGACCCATTTCTGTAATATACTTACATATCTATATTATTGCTAATATATATTGTAATATATCTATATCACTAAAGCACTTCTGGATGGATGCAAACTGCATTGCGTTGCCCTGTACCTGTGCATGTGCAATGGCAATAAAGTTGAATTCTATTCTAATTCTATTCTAACTACACATAAAATAAGTACACCTTGACGTCTTTGCCTTTCTAAATGGAGAGACAGTAACTACGTGTGTGTATGCAAGCGTAAGTGTAAAAACTGAGGATAGTAAGATTAACAGTATTTTGTCATTGTAAAAATTCATCTCATGTAAACAATAACGTGGCCACAGCGTGACGTGAACAAAGGCACATACCTCTGACGTTGCATGACCAACTCTGTATTCCTCGTCCACACGTAAACGCAAAAACTGCGTTTTAAAAAATCTCTGTTTTCGGTGATTTGAAACGCCGTTTACGTGTGAACAAAAGCCCCAAATGCATAGAAACAGCTGTGTTTTTAAAAATACCTGTGTAGGTGTGGACGTAGCGTAAAAGAGTTAGTAGTTTCTTTTATTACTACCAGTAATTTGTTGCAGTTCACTTTTATTCGTTTAATTGTTTGAGGTGTGAATAAACCGCAATGGAGTTTGAAAACAAAATATGGGTGTGTGTGGTTGGAGGACATGTTTGTGCGGGTGGGGGTGGGGGGTGCTGCTTTATGTTTAAACCGCATGTTATAAAAACTATAATTTCCTCAACAGCGTTTTGTATTTTTGTTCCCTTCCTCTTTTTGAGTCAGAGTGAATCAAAGCACAAAGCTGCCACAAGACAGCCCTATCACAGCTTCTCCAGGAACATTTTACTGCTTTACTAAAATCGTCTTACTCTTTGATGGTGATGGAGGTTGGAATCTCAGTCCAGAGCCGGGCGAATTTGACAGGAGTCACCAGTTCCTGAGGGTCTCGGTCTACGTGAGCATGGAGCATGAGGCGGCAGAAGGATGCCCGGAGGTCAAAGGGAAGAGTCTCATCCATCATGCACAGGAAGATCAGCTCCACATCCAGCTGTTTGGAGATCTCATCTATTGCAAGATACTGACGGTCCAAACACATACGGGCAAACAGCTTCAGCTGATACCTAAGGAAGTCCACAGAGGCAGGCTCTATCAGCTTTGCTTCTTTTCATCGTATTCTTGGATCACTTTACAAAAGTCTGTTGGATTTTTATGAGATTTGAAGTGAATGGCTGTTTTTGTTTGGCTGTACCTATAGTAAGTGAGGACGTTCTCATCATGAGCATTTCCTTGTCTTGCCTCCTGAGCCAGCTGTCTGATGCTTTTCTCCTGTTTCTCATTAGCTTTGTCTGTCCACATCAGCCACACCTGCAGGAAGAGTAGAACCGACATTTTTGTAATACCATCCATCTAAAAAGTAAGAACATGACTGCAGCAAAGACCAAAATCATTTGGTCATCATTAATTGTTTAGTCTTCTTCAAATGTAATGAACCTTTCACCGAGACATGAAAGGGAGTGATTTGTTTAGATATGAGATGTTTGCCCATTACACCATTTTCTAGAAATACTACTACCTAGTCACATGTGGTTTTGCTATCAGACAGTAAGTATATTGTATTCAGTCCACAATGTGGAAAAAATAAATTAATGTTGTAATTGTTGTAACTTTTGGTGTGAACTTTTTTAACCAATCAGTATTCTAGATAAACACAACAGCCTACTGAAGTTTTGAAAATCAAAGTTTTCTGTGTCTTGGGAAACAGGATTTTGAATTGGTTCAGTGTATTGTGGTAATGACCACAAAAGATGGACAAAGTTTCCATTTCTGATACATAAAGCCATTCCAGAAGTGCCCTGCATTATTTCTCATAACCAGTAGGCAGTGACTATGGCTCTAGTTGCAAAAACACGTCCCACTATACATAAGTCTAAAGAAAAAATGTTCACTTGGTCTACGACCTAAGTAATTAGTGTTATTCTCTTCTTTTGGATTTTATATTTGTCACTAGTTTCTGCTCTTACTGAATTACTAAATGAAATTGACTTTGAAAATGACGGTCCCCTTTAATTTAATAAAGGATGATAAAGCAGCTTCACCACATGATGAGTGTGTCCTATATAAACACCAAAATGGTTGCAGTGAAAACACTCAGCTTGTGACTTCACTAACAAATGGGTGGCGTAAACAAGACTACATCCGTCTTTTATATCTATGGTAACGATTTACAAATATACAGACAAACATACCTCATCCTCATCTCCAAAGTCATCCATTGCCATGTAGTCTCCTTGAACACCACCAGAGGGCGCCTCCTTTGGAACACGACGCCTGGAACAGGCAGTAAAGTAGATCACGGTAAACAATTAGACTAAAAGTTATAGTTCTCTCTCTCTCTCTAGATATAGATATATGTGTGTATATATAGACATGTAGATAGATAGATATGTAAAGACCAATTACACACACTCTTTAATTTTTACTCTTTGTTTGTTGGTGGGGTGCAAACTGAAAAAGCTCATTCTCCCAAACTAAACTAAGTTTTACTGCAGTGCCCACAGGGTAAGGTAAAGTGAGATGGGTAAAGCGATCTTTATTCCCTCCCGCCTCACTCTGTCTTAATGAGGATGTCCTGGTTTTTGGGGTCCAGGACACATTTACAGATGAGCTCCTGTGTGACGGGGATGGCCACGTTGTTGGACACACACAGGTCTGACAGGTAGTCCAAAAACCTGCAAAGTCCAGGAAACACCAAGTAGTAAAACAGAATATAACAGAATAGCACTTTATTACCACTTTCAAAAGTAAAAGCTATAACTTTGGACTATATCACTGCTTGGATTTGCCCAAAAAATGCAAACATCCTTATCAAAGGCAGACTGCAGGAATTTGAGGATTTTGACTTCTGCAGGAGATAAGCAATAGAAAATTTTGCCACCGTCCTTATTAGAAAGTCAGAAACCACTGCTGCCTTGGTGTTAGCAATTTTAATCACTTCACGCAGCTTGTGTCTTTGGATTGAAGATTCAAAATCCTGGAGTCTAATCTGCACTTGGCATGTACTCGGGATTGTTACTGTCTCCGTGCGTACCTGGGTTCTCGGTTCTTGCGGACCAGACTGACAAAAGTCTCCACCTCGGTCTTGGTGATGTGTTTCTCCAGCAGTTTGCGGTTATTGTGCAGCAGGGCAGTGATGGTGTCCTCAGCCAGGATGTCGTACCCAATCTGACTCTGCATCACACCGAACTGCTTCGCTATATACTCCTGGAGAGGGGTGAATTTTGAGTCTCTGTGATCACTGTTATCTTCAGCTGTTCTACCATTAAGAGCTTTATCAGGCATCAAAGTTGTGTCATTTTTAGCATTTAGTAGCTGGTTTGTCATTCTGCTTTCACAAAATGATTGAAAATAAGAGCTTTTGGCTTAACAAAGAAAACACCGGGACAGCTCCAAACTCGTAAAAGTCTCAACTTTATAAAGCTTATAAAGATTTGAAACAATAAAAACTAGTTTGAATGTCATCGTCCCCTCACCTGGTTCTTGCGGTAGTCATCCTGAGAGTGCCGGAGGACTCTGTAGCTGAGTCTGAGCATGTACTGGTAGGGAGCATTCTTCTGGTCGGCCAGCTCCTCCAGGCACAGCAGAGGACCTTCCCCTCCTGGCCGGTCCTTAAAGGGGGCCTTCAGGATGCCGAAGATCTGATCAAAACACACAAGCACACACTTTCAGAGAGCTGGAAGTCCTTTAGGACATGGTGTTTGTATTATCTGATGTTGCACTCAGAAGGAGTCAGAGGACACTGGTTCAAGAGTTGGCACAGGTTCCAAACCAGCCCTTGTACTATTTTACTGGAAAAGGTGTGTGAGTATTTTTAGGATCAGACCTGTTTGAGGATGTTCTGTTCTCTCATGAGCTTTTGTCTCTCTCGGTTAGGTTTGGTCATCACTACATCCAGGACAGGCTGCCCGCTGTTAATGACGTCAGCCACAAAGAAAACCACATCTTCCAGCAGCTTGATGGCATACCTGACCAACAGAAACACCAGAAAGCATTAACTCCTCCTGAGTGCCAACAAAGAAAGTAAACTTTCTTTTCAACGTGGCTCATTACTTGCGGTCGTTCTGACTGATGAAGCCCTGGCTGAACTGGTCCACCACAGTGCTCAGCATGGCGCTGGCATCATTGGCAAAGTCCAGATCTCTGATTTCCATCACAGGAACGGAAACAATAGCGAACGCTTCTTTGTCCTCTTTTGTGGGACATGTCCCCAACTGCAAAAGAACTTAAATTAATATTAAACAGACACTTCAAAGAGTAACGTCATCTTATTTCTGGTAAAAAGAAATCATGTTTTTGTGCATTTTTTAATTGATGGTTTGGATGAATGGTTAATTATTCTTGACTGTTGGTTTTGAGGCAATGGCTATTAGCTTAATAATGATTAAAAATAATTGATCATGTAGACTATTAACCAGGAAACAAGAGAAAACTGGTTGAACAAACTTCTTTTGTTTTGTTTGGCCACCATCTTAAAAGTCCCAAATATTCCTTTGTCAGATTTGAGAACACCAAACAATCAAGTATTTGGAGTCACTACATCATACAAATGTTTTTGTAATTGTAGTTCCTTAAATTAAATGGAAGACTAAATCAGCTAAGCACCTTTTAGCAGCAAACCTGATCAAAACTAAGACCTCACCATGAGCCTGATAGGTCGCTCTTCATCGATATCGATGGGGACGTTGGTGCTCTGGATCCAGGTGTTCGTGCAAAGATGCCTCAGGCGCACGTATGAGTTTCTAAAAGATACACAGCCCTCGGTTTTAATCCCTTCAACTTCGTTCTGAAGTCTGTGGGCTCCTCGTTAAAGAAAACTAATGTCTGTCATACAAATGCAGCTTAAGAATCATTGTCAACTATTGTCTTATATATTATTTATTCAATATATGTAGGTCAGTTTCACAAACGTTTTTAAAATTCGTTTTTAATAGTTTCCCTGTAAAAACAAATAATCTGAAATGAGAGTTCCCCATAAAAATATAACAGTTATTGGATATTTTTAGGGAAAAGTTAATGAGAACACAATAAGATATAAAGAAACAGCAGCATATAACAGCAATATAACGACAAAAACACTTTATCAGATGATTTAAAAGATCTGTTTTGTTTTTTAAACGTTGAAAAGACGAGGACATAAAGCTGCAAGCTTCTCTTAAATCTTGTTTTTAATTTTCCCTGTTTTCTGTGAGGTACAGTGAAATCATTCTCTGTTTTAGACAAACAGTCATTGTGTATTTAGTTGAAGTGCAAAACAGATTCATTAAAATGACACTCAGTCAATTACGATTTCAAACTATTTCTAAATGTTATGACCTACATAATTAAAATGGTTTCCCAAAGCCAGACACACAACCAGTACACTCTTCAATTTCTTACCATCTGAAGCAAAAGTGGACCTCGCTCCCATAATGTCCTCTAAAGTCTTTTACTGTGAAACATCTGCAGGAAGTTAAAGGACTCGTGTGTTCCTACCGTGGTACGAAGGAGTCGGTTTTCTGCAGCGTGGTGGGGTCGAGCTCGAACAGCGAGGCGATGTCGCTCCCATGAGGCACCGCGACCAGCTTGTACTTGATCCTCTCTCCGTGGGACCGCTTGTTGCTACGGCTACCGTCCATCTACAGAAAGGTCAGAGGTCATGTATAGGATGTAAAGGGGTTAGATTACTGATCAGCGTGGACTTCATACAGAGGAGGCTGTTTCTGGCTGCATCGATCTTTGATGGACTTGAAAAACGCATCAAACTGAGGCAAAAGTGTTGAGGCACTTCCTGGAAACAATATTTCATTTTTCCTGAAAATTTTGAAATGAAAATGTCTTTGCCTTAAATACCTGAACGTAAATGTCATCAGAGAAAAGTCAGACACAAAGTGTCCCGTCTCCTGCAGAGTGTAGTTACAGCCCTTTCAAAATAAAACCTGGACACCCGCTCTGACTTACCGATGCCTTATATCTTATGTGTCATGGAAGAGACTCACCGAGGAAGACAGCTCCACATTGTCTCCTTTATAACCCGGGTTCTCCTACAACAACAACAACAACAACAACAACACAAATGAGAGGTCTTCAACAATGAATTTATTGGATAGCAGCTCTTTCCTTTCCTTCCAACAATTCATTACTTATATATTATTTATAGATAAATAATTATCAGTTAGCATCTACATCTATGAAACTGCATCTGTTGTAGCAAAACCACAGCCGTAGCGTGGTGTTTGGTATTTGCTTTAACGGTCAAACTTCATTCATGGACTGCTTCTTTAGTCCACCAGCTTGATCTCATAGTTACCTCAGCAGCCAGGTAGTTTCCAGTGGCCAGGTGTTTGAAACGGTAGAGACTGTTCCAATGTCCCGCCCCTCCGCGGCATGGATCATGATGGACAACCTGTCAAACCAATCAGCACATAAAGAAAAAGTTTAACACAAGTGGAAGTTTAGAGGAAATTCTAGAGAATTTGTGTACTTGTGTGTGTTTGTTTGTGTACCTCAACCTCCCACAGGGCGTTGGAGCTGGTCGCTGATGTTGCTGACTGCCTCAGCGTGGTTCGGAGGAAAACGTGGAGTTTGCTCTTGTATTCATCGCAGGTCAGAAACTTCTCCTGCTCAGCGTGAAACAAGCGCACCACGTCGCCCTGACAGAGACAGGAAGATCTTAAAGGAGGACTGAAGGACAATTTGGGTTCGTCTGCAAGTCTCCTGAGCCTCTCCGGGCATTTATCGTTTATCTCTGAAACAATGTTGGTGACAAACAGCGCTCCTGCTGGCTCTTTGACTTACTGACACTAACTGTGACTCTTGGGGGGAATTTCAGCATAAAACATGCAGTCACAGAACTTTACTATGCAAAGAGTTTAAAAAGATCCCAGGAGACGGCCTGGAGCTGCAAATATTCCAACAAATAAATAAAAAGTAACAATGAAACTAAAAGTAGGAAAAGGCGAAGGTGAAGACCTCCACAAAGGAACGGTAAAAAACAGGGAAAAGACTTTAAATTACTGAAGTTATTGTTCAGATGTTGTTTTAATGTCTAATTTGAATATATGCATGTGAAATTTTAAATCTATCTAAACACGACTTCCTTTTAAAACACTAACTAATGTCTGTATTTCTAGCGCACTTATACTGTGTGCAGTGCTGCTTCACTCACTCCTTTGAGGACTTCCTCTCTGTGATCGTTGAACATCATGAACAGGTTGATCTTCCAGCTGGTGTTGCAGTTCACAGAGTTCACCTGCAGAGGGCGCAAACATGCTCTCGTTAGGGTGTGGGGAGCGCAGCAGAGGCAGTGTGCATTTGTATAATCACTATAAACACGTTGATCAAATCAAAACATTTGTGTTTGTTTTAACGTTTTGTGCTTTGAATCTCTTGCTAGGCTAATACTTGTGTTATTTCTTGCCTCATATAATCACATTTATTCTCTTTTCAGATTTGTTTTCACATTATTAAAATATCTATTCCTCATGTTGCATTATATTTATTTAG